ACATTGCTGTTAAACTGCTCATCCGTGTAATACTTGCAGTTATTTTCAGAGTTCTTAAAAAAGTTTTTTTCAGGGTCAAAGTCATCGTCCGATTCATGATAATGTTGTTCAGTGTCTCCAATTGTGTTCAATTCCAGATCCAGTCCCTCAAAAACTATTAACCTCTGTAGCAAATCACTTGCCTCATTCCGTACGTGGGTCATACTTGTTGTTGGTTCCTGCTAATTGTTTGTTCCAACACTCATCTGCCCTCGCAGATATCAATCTGTTCAAACAGTTCAGGGCCAAGCCAACAGATGGCAGGGATTTCCTGATGTGAACTCAGCTGACTAGGGATTGTTATCTAATGCCAATCAGTTTAGTCCAGGAGGTGATAAGTAGATCAACATTATGTATAGTTGGCGGCTGTGGCTTAGGAAGTAGAGCAGGAAGTCTCCCAACCGGAGGGTTGGCTTTTCGATTCCCGGTTTCTCCAGTCCACGTGTTAAAAGTATTCTTGAGCAAGATACTGTACCCCTAGATGCTTCTGGTGATATCAGCGGTGTGTGAGTGCTTGTGTGCACAAATGGGTGAATGGGAAATTGTGTAAAGTGCTTTGAGTGTGCATCAGTGCATAGAAACGGGCTATATAAGTATACATGTAAGACCATTTACCAGGTGACAGATGGATCTTATGCAAACATTAAAGAAAATCTTGTATACTTTTTGATAAACAGAAGGTTTAGGAATCTTAGAAGCCTGTTGGTTCATATGTTCAGAAGGTTTTCAGACTTGTAGCATAGTTGTTTATAGGATGTGAACATTATTATGAAGTCAACTCTTTTGTAGCTAGCTTAGCTTAGCAGTAAGACTAGAGGCAGGGAGAAACAGCTAGACTAGCTCTGTTCAACAGTAACAAAATATGCCTGCCAGCATCTCTGAAGATAATTTAGCACGTTACATTTAGTTTGTTTAATCTGTGGAAAAAACAAGTTAAAAAATTCATTGCTTGTGGTTTTAAGGGGCACTGTGTGTTGGATGTTGTGTTGCTGGATTGACTTTGAGGTGAGCTGTTTCCCTCTGCTTCAGCTGTCTCCTGGTTTTAGCTTTATTGTATGTCTACTGCATAGACACAAGAACAGTGTCAATGTGCCGTCAAACAGCTAGCTAACTAAAAACGCTTGTTTAAAAACAGTAGGAAAAAATAAAACACTTTGAGGCTGAGCATCTCAATTTCTTGAATCTTGAATGTGGCTGAAAAATGAATTTCTCTCCTTCTGCTCCTCATGTGTCCTGGGCCCAATTATTAATCTACAGAAACAGTGACAAACCCAGGTCAGTCTTCTTATCTACAGCATTATCTGTTGGCATGTGACTAGTCAAGCTGTTGTCTGCTCTAGTTGCTCAGTACTACACTGCCTAGGAAACAACTCAGGTGAGACAGCATCTCTTCTGCTGAGGCTGTTATTTCTACACAGCGAGGCAGCTGGGATAGAGCGGGAGCTTTTCTTGAGTATTTTAATTCATTTCTCATCTGCAATTTACTGTGGATTGTCTGCAGGACAATGTCCAACATTACCTGTTATAATTCACATGGGACACAGTGTGATCAGTGCAGCAGTTCCTTCTCATATACTCACAGCCACTTTATTAAGTACAGTTGTATGCAATTCTGTGCAACACTTCTGCCTTAACATCTGTGTATATGAAGTTCAAAATGTTTCAGTTTTTGGTGAAATTGCCATAAATGTATAAATTAAATTATACACTTCTCAACCTAAGCAAATACAATGCAGATGCTGTGTCAAGCCACATATCTTCCCTTTGCTTTGGTGAGGACAGGGTTCAGGGACACTTTGTGTTAAATGTAGGTTAGGTCTGAAAAAATGGTATTGCTTATCATGTGGCTCTGAAGATTTATGATGGTGTGGCCTGACACCCCCCTCTTTGCGGCCAAGTAATGGGTAAACATTATTTAACTTGTATACTGAGCTCCCATATGAATGCTCTTCCATTCTTTGGCACATTCAATTGTGTATTATTGACTGTTATTATTGAGGTCATAGTTGAAGGTGGTGTTGTGTATCAGGAAAGGCATCCGGCGTAAACACGTGCCAAATTTCAACTTGAGAATTGTCTTTGTGACAATTGTGTCTTTGCTGTGGTGACCCCTAAGGGGAACAGCCAAAAGTGACAGAGTTAAAGGTGGTGTTGTACTGGACTACATTATATTCAGAGGTGTTCCTAATATTCTGACCCTCTCATGTATGTAGCTGGGGAGGACAAAAATATAGAAACACCTCTGAATATAATGTAGTCCTGTACGACACCACCAATTTATACATTTATGACAGTTTCACCAAAAACAAAGATTTTGAGCTCTATAAACACAGATGTTAAGGTGGAAGTGCTGCATTGGCGTGCACACAATTGCACAGGTGTACCTAATAAAGTGGCTGGTGAGTGTATGTGACAGAGAGAAGCTGTTTTTAGCATGTGTGCAAGTTACACTGGTTTACTGTGATTCAGACTGTCCAGAAAAATCCTTTGCATTATCACTGACCTGCTGTGATCAAACTGGCTCATTAACATAACAGGATCTCTCACATATCCACTGTCGGCAGTGTTAACATGATGATGATGATGATCATGTGTTTTAGAAAACATCCCCTCTGCTGTGTTTAGTTTGGCCTGTCTGCAGACTGGATGAGACATTACCATATTCCTGTTCAAACAAATTATTTCTTTTGTGATGGGAAAAAAAACGCTGAATGGAGAACTCACATAAAACATACTGTAGTTTGCCAGTCAAATAATAAACTCACAGCATGTCACCTGCATATGTATGTATATTCACCAGCCAGCCAAACCAAGCACAGGATGCAAACCAGTAAGAGAAAACTACAGGGCAGGAGTCAAACATTTCAGGAAACTGAGC